TAAACCCTAAACCCTAAAAGGTATCCCTGGAGAGGACTGGCGAGGCGAAGGCGAGGAACATTCCAATCACTGCCGGGCGGGCTGAGCCAATGGGCCCAACTCTTTCGATGCGAAGATTTCGGGGTTTAGGTTTAGGGTTTAGNNTAGGGTTTGGGGTTTAGGGGTTTGTCAAGTGCATCCTCTTTGAGTTTCGGTCGCCCTGTCGCTGTTGCGTTGGTGGTCGCACTAGTAGCTGCATGTCGTAACTTACAAAGAAACTAATGTAACGACTATTATCCAGCAACTATTATGCAGTAACTAATGTAGTAATCAATATAGTAACTAATCTAGTAACTTATTTAGTAACATGGTATCTACAGCAGGCAAGTATTTGGTGAAGTAGCTTCATGTTGCCAGATCGGGCAGCTTCTGGCCCTTGGCCGCGAATTGGTGGAATCAATGCTGACTGGATCTCAGCATTCCTCTGCCGGTGTTTTGCCTTTAGTAGGGTTTGGGGTTTAGGGTTTAGGGTAGGTACCATATAGTTACTGCTATCATTAGGACCCTTCAAGCGGGGTAAGGAGGAGGGGGGCCAGGCGGCCTTAAAAGCCCTAATCAGGACCCTATGATACGGTATGGTGGCGAAAGTAGTGAGTTACTATATTAGTCACTACATTAGCTATTGGATCAGTTGCTCTCTTAGTTACTTAGTTACTATATGGTTATGATATAGCTATTATACTTGGACTCGGTAGCTGCAGGACTGGTGTGCGATCGGCTCTATGTTGCCAGCACTTGACATCGCCTTGCGAAGTCTTCATCATGGTGTCCTCTATAAACAAGAAAAAACACATGGACGCACCGATACATGTATTCCCACTCTTTTATTTTTCTGACATACAAACGAACACGTTTGTGTCATTTGTTTCTGTTCACTCGTACATGCAATTGCATTGTATACGGATCCTTTACTGTATGTTGCATATACGGCCCACTGCAGTGAACCGAGCAGAAACTTGAAGGAATAGGATTCTGAACGTAAGGACCCCGCAAATAAAGGACCCTACGCCCACAACCCCAAGGCCTTGAATCCTAAACCATAAAGAGAGACTCGAAAGCCCCGCATCCCTTACACCTGGAATCCTAAACCCCAAGACCCACCAAATCTCCAACACCCTAGACCCCAAACCCAGAAAGCCCCGGCCACTCAAAACAAGGCTTCAATGTAAACCCCTAAGCCTCAACCCCCCCCCCCCCAGCTTAAACCCGCTAAACCCTAAACCCTGAGCCCCAAACCCTGGAGCCTTAGGGCTGCAACAGCCCTAGAGCTCTAGCCGCAATAATTCTGAGATTCGAAAGGCCGGTTCTGCGCTTCTCGCTTTTGGCTCCCAGCCACTCACAGGAATCGGCTCGGAGCTCATGGGTTAAAGGGCATTTGGGGTTCTGGGGTTTGGGGGTTCAGGGTTTGGGGGTTTGGGGTTACGGCCCAAAGCTTAAGGGCTTTTGGGTTTCGCGGCGTTTTAGGCGCTGCAAGGGTTTCGACGGTCTTGGAGTTTGATTTTAGGGTTTATCGGGTTTAGGGTTCTGGGGTTGCGAGTGTGCTACCATCGTTGCTATATTGCCTTAAACCTTGTGAGTCATTGTCTTGTTACTGATGTTGGCTGCCTTACTGCTAGCTGATATCGTGGTTTCTGTTGCCACCACAGATATCAGTAGGATCGTTGTTTCTGCCGTCATGACGCCATCACGGCTGCTTGCTTTGGGTGGGTGTTGGCGTTGTCAGTGGCGAGGGTTCGCTGCATGAGCCCAAAGCCCAAACCCTAAACCCTGAGTCCTAAACCCGAAGCCCTGCCGAAGGTCGATCACAAGCAGCGTCTAGCCTTCTCACAGCTCCTCGAGGCGGCAAAGGTGGGACTCTCCACGTACTGCATGAGGGTTTAGGGCTTCCGGGGTTTCGGGTTGAGGGTTTAGGATGCCTACTACAGAAGTTGTCACCAGTTGTGTTGTCGGCTTTGTGGCTTTGCCGTCTAGGATGTAGCAGGGTATAGGGCTTTCAGCGAAGCTGCTGGCAGCAGGCTGATTCCGAGTCCGCTGTCTTCGATCTGCTTGATCCTGAGTTCCGCTTAGTGAGAATAAGCATGTTTGCATCTACTTTAACTTCCAATCCTCGTCCAGCGTGGCGTAGCTGCGGACATCCAGAGGCCTCATGTAGGCGCTCGCAGACGCAGTGCTTGCAGTTCTGCTGTCCAGGTCTACGGAGAGTGGACGCTTAATAGCCGCTCTCCTTCGTGAGGCCGCGGCCATGCTTTCGTAGCCGGGTTGAAACTTTGGACTTTCTAAGATGTTTTGCGGTATCTTCTGAAGGTGCACTTTCGTCGTCTTGGCGGTGAGGCCAGCGGATTTCATTGCATTGAATACTCAGGTAAGCAGGCAGGCTTTGCATGAGCTGCAGCACGCAGTGCGACTGAGCATCCAGGAGCTTGAGCCCAGCCGGCTCCTAAGTGAATCTGGTGTTTTCTCTCTGTCTGTCTGTCTGTCTGTCTGTCTGTCTGTCTGTCTGTCTGTCTGTCTATCTATACACATATGCATTAACATATCATGTAGATGTATACATGTACACATGTATGCATGTATGTATGTATGTATACATCTATGTATGTATATATACATATAGTTGTATATATATATATATATATGTTTTCAGCAATACCTATCAGTAGCAATATCAATCACAAACATGTCGCACATACTAATACTACTTATGAAGAAGTAAAATGTGCCAATAATGATAACCATCATCATAATAGCAACAAGAATAACAGTAGCAATAACAACAGCAACAGCAACACCACCGCCACCAGCAACAACAGTAACAATAAGAATAACAGTAGTGTAGCACTTTCAGTACCAGCCTACCAGTATCACAGTAGCTGCAACAGCAACAGCAATATTAAAAATCACAGACACGGTAGCAGCAACAATGATAACAATAATCGGAATAACAATCACAATCACCAATTACAATATCCACAACAAGTAGCAAATTGCAAAAACAATCTCAGTAAGAATAGCAAGTAGTAGTAATAGTGATGGTAATAGTAACAGTAACAGTAATAGTAACGCTAGCTGTTATAGTAAAAGTAAGTTAGAGCAATCGTAGTGGTACGGGTAAGAGTAATGGCAACAGTCTTCGAATAGCTATAGTAGTAGTTTATCACGGTAAAAGTAGTAATGACGTTGATAATGATAAACACAATAATAGCACTCAGAACAACAATAGTAGCAAGCTTGGACCTGCAAGTGTCGCCAGCGCTCTCGTTGACTTCAAGGCGCAGCGACATCCTTTGCCGCTCTCCTGGAGGACCTGAACCTGGTTGCGGAACTTCGTTTCCTTCAATCGACTTATCGTTTCTAGATTCTAGAGGAGATGAGCCGAAATTGGTCCGAACCTTCAGCCGGACAAGGCAACAAAAAAAGTTCTGCATCAGAACATGGAGCGTCTCTGCAGTGAGTGGGCCTCGCAGATACTGGCTTGCTGGCAGCCTTCGCGCAGGAATCCCACGTAGAGGCTCGCTGGTTCATACATGCAGCGCTTTCCCTTCCTTGTCTGCACATACGCGTTGGTAAGTATCATGCATTATTCTTGGGTGAACTATGAAAGCCCTGAGCTGAGGCGAGAACGGCTTTCCTCGAGCTGTGCAGACACCTGGATCGCTTCTGACGCTCGGTGAAGATAGCCAGGGAATTTGGGAAGCGGAGGACGTCCCCCTAAATCCTCGGACAGCAAGATGCGTGTAGGTGGGTTTCTGTCTGTCTCCGCTTTGGCATCTCTCCGCTTCGCAGTGCTTTGGGGCAGTGCAGGAGAGCCATCAGCCTGTCAAGCAGAATCCCCTTCTTGGCCCAGGCTTCTTCCTCATGGCCTGCAACTCAGCACTGCCGGACGCGCCCTGAACCAAGCACCAAGCCCAAAATCCCAAAGACCCCTAAACCCTAAACCC